TCTCTCTCTCTCTCTCTCTCTCTCTCTCTCTCTCTCTCTCTCTCTCTCTCTCTCTCTCTCTCTCTCTCTCTCTCTCTCTCTTTGCGCCTCCATTCTGCGCAACAGAGAACGAGCTCGCGCCCGTGGATCAATAGGCAGCAAATGTGTCGATGGGGTGCAATGACCTTCCGTGCTAGGTCCAGTCCTCATCCTCACGCGACGACCTCCGCCGTCATCTCCGTCCGCCGTCCGGATCCTCGGGACGTAATCGGAGTCATCAGGATCGTCGGCGCCTGTGGTCTCACCACCCTCAGCGGTTGTGGAGTTGTCGTCGTGGATGATGATCGTGCCGCCTCGTCTCTTCTCACCTCGCCCTGATTCGTTCACTCTGTCACCTCCGTCCACCCTGCCCCTTCCATCTGCAGCAGCTGGCATCTGTCTGGTCTCGTCACTATTGCGGAAAAAAGGATGCGGGCGGCGCCGGTGATACGGAATCGACGCACCTGTTCCCTTCTTCCTCGCCCGTGATAGCCTCGCAGTAGCCGTCCTGGTGTCATGGACATCGGTCGTCTTGGCCCGTATAGGCCTCCCATGCTGCTCCTTGTAAGCTCTCATGGAATCGTAACAAGTACCATCGACGTTGCGGATCAATCGCGCCCCCGCGGTCACATTTGCCGGTCCGCATGCTGATGCATGTCCGATATCGCCCGCCCTCCGGTCCATGGCCGCACCGTCGTAGAAATACCTCGTCGGCAATGCGCTCTGCGAGGCCTGCCTGTGGGCGACGAGGTCAGCAGCAGGCGAGCGTGAGGGTGGTGGACGCATGATGTCACGCATCCCCATCAGATGCGGTCGAGGTTCCTCTGTGTGCGCGTCTCCAACGTCATGTGAGTTGGGCCTAACAATGTTGGGGTGTGAGGTCGATGACCCTATGCGCTCGATGCCCCCCCGGATGGACCGTCCAGCGTCTGCGCTCCCTGGCTGCGCCGTATCATGGCCCACACCCTCGCCTCCGTAAGAGCGGACAACTTCGGGAGGCCTCGCCTCTAAAGTCTCCGTCGAGCCTCGATGTGGCTCTCGCTGCGAGCCCTTATCCAGTTGACGGACTGATGACACACCGTCCGATAACTGCGCCGCAGAATCTCCAGACGCTACCTCTAGTGAACCTCCCAGACTACGTTTCGCTGCGACGGGCGGTCCGCCATGACGGTTTTGTGCCACCTCCTCCGCCAACCCCTGCTCCACCGCCCACGGTCCACCGACATAAAAAATGGTGGGAGTGCCGGACTCTAGAGGATGCAGTATCGTATCGCCGCCGAACTCGTCGAACCGTCTGTCACGACGCGCGTCATCTCGTCCAGCAGGCTCCGGTGGGTGCCACAACCGCCAAAGTGGGAGATATCAATAGCGATACATCGGGCAGAAATGCCAAGGCGGAATCCATGTTCAATAACTCGTCGGTGCGCGGAAGACTATCCGGCGGGCAGTCGAGGCCGACCTGGTGGCCCATAGGAGGACGTTTGTCCTCCCCGTCCTGTCCACAAGTGGGAGTAGGTGCAACCTCTCCATCCTCTAGACCGTCGTCACTCGTGTGAGGAGGCAGCTCACGTCGTGCCTCGCCGTGCTCCAAACCCGCTCCTATGGAGTGGACTGGGGCGCCTGCTGGAGTGCACCGAGTCTGCGCCTGGCGGAGTGGACCGGGTCCTCCGAACTTCGTCTCCTCCTCAGTGCCAACAACCGGCGCTGGCGACCCAGTATCCTCCTCTGTCACCATCGCATTTGTCACCGAGGCTTGCGCCTCTGCGTAAACGGGGTCACGCCGCGTCTCGTTGGAAGGATTTCCCATCTCGTCCTCTGACACGGCAACCGGGTCCTGCCACATGACACGTGTCGGGCCCCGTGTCGGTCGCAATGTGGACACGACGTCTGCGCACACGAGACGCAATATTCTCATCCCGTCTGCCCCCGCGTCTCAACCGCTGCAAAACGATGCGACCATCGGGCATAACATCGCCGTCCACATGCTCCTCAACCCTGTCGCCATGTCACCCGCTCCCTCCACCATCACCCCCCCCC